CACACAGCACACACACACACACAGCACACACACACACACAGCGCACGCACACACAGAATGCACACACAGCACGCACACACACACACACACATCAAAAACACACGCACACACAGAACACACATACTCACGCACACACACACACAGACACAGCACAAACACACACACAGCACAAACACACACAGCACACACACACACACAGCACAAACACACACACACACAGCGCACACACACACACACACATACACATGCGCACGCTTATGTTTCTATCATAGCAGGGACTCTCACTTTCAGTCAGCTTCAGTTGACTGTATCAGTTCTTATTGCTTTTATACTGACCTAATGATCTTTTCCATTCTCTAACCCTATACCTAAAACACTATAACTATCAAAGAAACCATTCTGGACTATATATATATATATATATATATATATATATATGACGAAAAATCTCACCTTGAAAAATCTGCTCCATCCAGAATTGCTGTAAAGACAAATTCTGTTAAAAAAGAACAAAAACCTAAAAGTAAACTCTGATCAGATCATCTCTATTGAGAAATATTCTACCCACCACATGTTCTTCTGTCCAGGAGTGGATGGCCAGGTTTGGGAGAAGCTGTCAAACACAGACAGAAGAACACCTGTTAACTGACATTCAGCTAAATATTCAGCCAGTGTTAATATGGAGTACAGATTTATCAGTATTAACAACAAGAACGATTGAATACCCACAATCAATTGATCAACTTCTGATTCGGTCATAATACAGTATATGATGCTCACTTGTGATCCAAAAAAATAAATATGGGTATACAGTATAATCCCTCATTTGCATATGTGTAACAAATAATTTTAACAATAACTCTTGTTAGATGCTGTGAGGATGCTATCCTCAGCCTGTGTTTCCAACGTCTACTTTCTTTATTAGCAAATGTTGAAGCTTTTACAACATTAAAGTTAACATTTTGTCTTTATTATTTTGTTTTTGAATTACATTAACTATTAATAAAATGATGTGAAACTGTATCCCAGGTTATGTGATGACGTCATATTTTACCCTTTAAAGTAATATGTTTGTAATGAAGAAGCTGTGTTTTAGTACATTTCAAATATATTAACATTAAATTTAATATCATACAACATGCTACAGTTAAGCGCTTTACATGTGCTTTAGTATGTTAGTCAAGTGTCCTTTATTAAATTTGACAGTGTTACAAAGTGCACTTATTAAAAGTGTGTTTAGAAACATAGTCATGAAGACGTGCTTTCTTTAAATACACTTAAGCGGGCTTTTATTTCAGTAATACTATTGCACTAAGTACAGTTTTTTTTAATACTTTAATAGCCATTACAATTAAACTCTCCTTTTTTCACAAGTGAATACCAGACTTTACCTGAATTCATATTAGTGAAAGTCTGATTAGAGGAACAGATGTAATGCATTTCAGTTCTACTGGAAGACATATTGAAATACTCTTTCTTGCCCGTGTCTTTCATTCTCTCTCCCTCTCTTTCTTGATGGTGTGCGAGTTCCTCACAGTCTTCACACTGCTCAAATTGGCCAATCTTAATGTCAGTGAAATGTCAGTTGTTCGTAAGTGTGCGCTGTCCTCGCCACGCTGACATGCTGTTCTCTCTCGCTCTCCTCAGCATGTGGCTATACATCCACTTCATTTGCCATAAATAACATCCATAAGGACCCGGTGGGCGTCAAGCGGCCTCACCTAATACAGCCTTTACAGGGAATCAAGGAAAGTGACTGCTCTAACCTCCACAGCACACGACAGACCACTTACTTCCACTTAAAACTATTCTAAAAAACTGCATATTTTATCCAGCAAACAAATTATGTTCCTGATAGAACAAAAGATTGAAAAAGCACAAACACACTCAATCTAAATCCTAAACAATCCTGAATAAAAACAGTTAATTTTGATTAGACCTCTACCAGTGAAATGTTTGGGCTGAGTCTATTTTAAGTTATTATTAAGTTTCAAGACTTCTGCTTGAATGGTCAAATTAGCTTATAAACTGTGCCTGTCTTTACGAACACTAAAATGTTATTTTATATAACTGAATGAATAAGTAAAGCAATATACTGTATAAAAGCAGTTTGTGTTTTGATGAATTTGCTTATGATTAGTAAAAAATTAGTAGGTGTGTCCAAAATGTATTAGTGTATATTTAATTTAATAGTGTATATTTTTTAGGTTAACCCTTTAGCGCCCACGGTACACTGTGTGTTTTAGGCTAAGGGGTTAAAATATTTCTTAGGGTGCTAAATAAAGAGCTATCCTTATTAAGACGATAATTGCTCATTAATTATACTGAAATGATAAAATACTGCTTGGAAATTCATTTGAACCACACTATCCATCTTCTTCCTACGACCCATGATGATGCTTTGCGCAAATTATGGGAATAACTTCCGTTAAACTGTAGACAATCAGCAAAAGGTTCACTCTATGAATGCAATTATAAACATTTTCAAAAAGTGGAAACATTCCAGTAAACACAGCTAACAGGGATAAGAAGTGAAAAGACGATTACACTTTAAAGCATCTGTGTGAAAACAAACCTGCAAAGCGACGTGAGGATTTGGGGAGAAAAACAAGAGTGCATAGTGCATTCCAGTTCATTATTGGTGGGATATATCATAAACTAAATCAGGAGAGCAGACCACAAATTAACAGTATATGTTGTCTTTTGTCATATAGTTATCATATGTCATATAGTCATATTATGCCACAGATAATTTTGTTATATCACGTCACATTAAAATACCAAGTGTTACGTTATTCTTCTGGAACATTTACAACTTATTCAGTCAAACGGACAAATAAGGATTATTTATATTGCAACCTTATGATCTGAAACCTCTTCTGACCTTTAAATCAAAACATACTCAATATTTTATGACACCAATTACTGCTTTATTTAATCAGAATCTTATTTGTGTACTTTACCTTTATTTTATTAGAAGTAGGCCAACAGCGCCCCCTACGGAATTAAAACGCCTTACTGAACTGGGCTTTAGGACCTGGGGGAGGCTGCCGCTGCTACCGCTGCACGTGCTATTACTGTTTAATCTATCATACACGGAACGCGTCATTCTGTACGTGAATTCTCAGTTTTTATACAGCGATCCAAAGCAGTGAATCTAATTGCCATTCAGGCAAAACTTTGCTTACAGAATGAGACAAATTTCTTTTTTTTTTCATATCGGGCCGATTGCCGATATGTACATTTAAAACCATTATCGGCCGATTCTGATATCGGTTCGATAATATCATGCATCCCTAGTCCTAATCACTGTCATCGGATGAGTCAAACACAGCTAAGCTCAAAGGCATGGGGATCTTGTATCGGCAAAACATACCGGCACATTTTTTCATATCGGACTGATGCCGATATGTACATTTAAAGCCATTATCGGCCGATTCCAATATCGGTCAGATAATATCATGCATCCCTAGTCCTAATCACTGTCATCGGATGAGTCAAACACAGCTAAGCTCAAAGGCATGAGGATCTTGGAGGAGTTCAGATTGGCCTGTGGGTCCAGAGGAAACATCTGATCAAACTCCCTCATGATGGCCTGCAGCGCTCCATCACACGACATCTCTGAACTCACTTCCTCCGCCACACTCGAGTCAACAAACAACTCTGAGCTTAACGCTGCCGCCAGAGGAAGAAAGAACTGAGAGGACGAGGACAGATGACAACAGAACACAGAAAAAGTCAAAAGGACAAAGACAGGAAAAGAAGAAATGAAGGAAAGGAAATCAGTAACACAAGATTTGAACGGTGATTCAGAAAAGCAAAGCGTACAGCTGAAGACACACAACCACTGAAAAGTTTGCGCTTCCTTTTTTTGCAACACTTTAAATAGTCATGAAACAAGCTAATAATATTTCTGCTGTCATGTGTGTTTATTCATACATCGTTCCTGTAGCTCAAACAGTAAAGCACGGCACTCGCACACCAAGGGTGTGGTTTTGATCCACACGGAATATGTGATGTGGCCCACTTCCAGTCTTAATATAGCATCAAACACCCAGAACTTTCTAGACCACCAGTACACAAAATGTGTGAACAGACACGCATGGCAGTGTGTTAGAAATAAAATAAAAGTGTTATATTGTGTATTATATTATTACCTATTTAATTTTGCTTAAAACTTTGCAGTATTTAAACTTTAGTTTAATTTTGTGTTGCATTTTTGTGTAATGTAGTAACGCAAAAAAATCCATCAACTGGCAGGAATATGATACTGATACTTGTGCAGTATGTAATCATTAGTGAGTTACTGTACCTCCACTCTGCTTTATTGTGCAGGAAAGTGTTGCACTCATCAGGTAAGTGACTGTCGTTCCACATGGACTCCAGCGTGGACAGGATGTGTTTGAACAGCGGCCTGTCCTACAACACCATCAACAACATCTTCATTAAAACAGCAGCATTTCCCACAGAGACACGTCAAATCACTTTCTGAAATACTGAACTCAAGACTATGAAAATGTATACGCTGATGGTTGGCTCAAACAATTGCCTGGCCAATAAAAGCACACTCAAATTCTCGTCTTATCAATAAACAACACTACACCAAAATGCACCCTAATGAAAAAAAAGTGAAAAAGAAGTACACGTTATCATACTTTTAAAAAGAGTACTTATTACAGTAATAATATACTTAATACAGAGTTCTGGCATGAAACTCTAGATGGCGCAGTCCGATAGGTCTAACTCAATCTGACCTAATGACATCATTATCACATGGCACAGCTGATTGGTTCTCTCCTGTATCGGTAGCCAATGAGCTCGCTGCTCAACATTTAAATATATGATTGGTGCTAGCCGTAGCAGTTGCAGCTTGCTTCAGAAACCCTCCTCCTTCCCCAGCTCCACCTGTATAGAGCTGCTATGAGGTGATTCATGTACGCTATATGGGGTTATTCATGTATGTTATATTTGCAGCAGCAAAATTTCTTACATGCTCACAGCAGCATGTTGTGGATGTATTGGCAGTAGCAAGTCTCAGTATTAATCTATTTATATTTATATCTATTCCGCCAAGACCAAATACATTAACATTGTCATGTGTGCATTACCACGCCAATCCCTCCAAGAGTTGTCATGACAGAAATATACTTAAGTGCAAACTGAATGTAATGTTTTTGGACACCATGATAATTGCAATTCAATAAAAATTTATTATAGTTTAAATTGATATTAAATGCAATTAGCTGAATTACACATTTGTAATGATGAAGTTGCAATTTAGTACTTTTAAAATATATTAACTTTAAATGTAATATCAAAAATTATAATCAAGTACTTTACATGTGCTTTAGTATTATTTAAAATGTAATTTAAAACTTTTAGTTTTGACATTATTACAAAGTGCACTTTTTAAAAGTCTACTTAAGTGTGTTAAGAAACAGTCATGAACAGTGTTGGCCGTAACACATTACAAGTAATGCAAGTTATGTAATCTGATTACTTTTTTCAAGTAACTAGTAAAGTAACACATTACTTTTAAATTTACTTAAAAAATTAAGTTTAATTAAGTAACGCACGTTTTCTCATGTATTCACTGTCACCTCTCCTGTCCCCATGTTGAGAGAAATCGGGAGTGAGGCTTTTACAGTAGGGCTGGGCGATATGACGATATTATCGTATATCGACGATGTCTCATAAGTATCGCGATGTCAATGTCAACAGTCAGGTAACAGACGATTATCAACATTATCGGGGAAAAAAAGACAAATGATAAACCTAGCAAGTTGCAAAAAATATTTTACATAGCCCCATGGTCACCATACAGGTCTTTTTGCATGCAAGAATTAAATAATTTACTATGAGGGTTGGGAATCGAAAAGCTATTCCAATTTCGGAAATCAGATCAGATGCTTAAGGTCAGGAATCAAATTACTTGTTATAAAATTATACATTTCGATTCTGCTTCTCGATTCCTTTATGTGCATTTATTGTGATTTCAAAAGATTCAACTGCAAGAAGACGAAATATAACTCACTTCTAAACTCGCGCGCTGTTTACTGTGCTGAACACACACACACACACACACACACACACACACACACACAACGCACGCACAAAAGCCGCCTCTTATATACGCGAACACTGGACTGAGCTCTCTTTCTCGCATTCTTACACATTCGAATTGACAAATACACACAGAATTATATCAAAATATCCCATAAATACAATCGGTTATGTCTTAAGTGAACGTAAAGAGCTGAGAAAGAAAACATGCTCAACATGCAAGCGTTCGGAGTTTCAGCAGCCCAACACTGAATATTATATTGTGGGCGTTGTATTTTGATTAATAAAATAAAAATTCTAAAAATTACAATACAAAAATGAAATTTAAAAATTACCCTGCTTCTAAATAAATAAAGCAGTTATTTTTATTTCGTTAAAAACGGGCCAAAAGAGACCTCCGAACTAGTAGAATCCGTGTATCATTCGATCATTCGTTTTTTGATTTAATATTGAAAGTAGAAAAATGAGAAAACACCTCCTTTTTCATTTTTTCGTTTTTTTCCAAAAGACGAAAAACGAGAATTCAGCTTAAATTTTCGTTTTTCGTTCATAGGTGGAAAAATTAATAAACAGCTTGAATATTTGATTTCTACACGTGGGCGGGAATTAAACGCCCTTTCTGCTGATTTGTCAGCTGAAGATCAAACCGTGCCATCATCAGTTCTTTTTTATTGGAACTGTGTGAACTAGAGTGAATATTCACCTTAATGTTGTTCTAAAGGCTTATTACTTAATAACACAAAAATGTCCTGCTCGCACTTGCCAATTTAATGGCAGAGAATGGTGACTTTAGTATTTTTTATTTTTTTTTAAGCGGATGCATATCTGTCGTAAAATAATTCTATACATCTCGTGGCATATATTCCAAGCATTCTGAAGGTATTCTGAGGGTTTGGTGAGAAACAAACCGAAATGGCAAGTTATTATATTTTATGAAACTCTTGCATTGCAGTGCAAGTGCACAGCAGCTCATGCAAGTGCATATCCTTTTGAGATATCAATTATAATCAATTTTAATAAAACACAAGACTACATAATATAACTCTAACAGTAGGCTATTTAATATCTGTTGTTCCCTCGGTTGTCAGTCAGAATGACAGTTCTTGCGTGAACATAGGCCTATATATACCCAAGCCAATTTATTATTCTTTCCTTTATGTCTTACTGTTTAAAATATTTATTTTGAAACAAATTAATTAATTTCTTAATTAAACAAACAAACAGACTTACTGGGTGAGCAGGGTAGGCTAAGACAGCTGTCATATCATACCCTGCCATGCCCAGCTGATGCAAATAATAGAATTTATATCTACACAGAAGAAAGTCCTGCCTAGACTCTGCCCCGGTATGAGTTGTGTCCAGCTATTCATTAGCCTGTTTGTTTGATGAAAAAAGATGAAATGTAGTTGCAATAAATGCGTTAAGAATCCATACAACTGCAGCAGTGGAGGACTATTATTCTGCTGCGCGATACTGCAGAAGAACTGATGACGGCACGGTTTGATCTTCGGCTGACCAATCAGCAGAAAGGGCGTTTAATTCCCGCCCATATGTAGAAATCGAATATTCAAGCTGTTTATTCATTTTTCCACCAAAGAACGAAAAACGAAAATTTAAGCTGAATTCTCGTTTTTCGTTTTTTCAAAAAAACGAAAAACCGAAAAAGGAGCCGTTTTCTAATTTTTCTACTTTCAATATTAAATCAAAAAACGAATGATCGAATGATACACGGATTTAGTAGGCTACCAGAAAGGGGAAAAAAACCTTAACGTTTTTGCTCAGAATTTGTTTTTAATCCCTGCATGATTTTAGTCATACATGATAAATATCAAATACGTTATAGCTTGACTACAAGTTTAAAAACAACGCTGCAATTGTTATAATTAAGGAAATTAAACTCACCATCATGAAATGTGTCTACACAGGCGATAATGCCAAAAGAAAGAGAAACATCGAAAAATAGGCATATTTGATTTAAGACATTATTATATGACATCAACATGTATTTATCATTCTTACAATCGCTGCTAGAATGTCCAAATTCACCATGATGAACTTAGAATTGGGTTCTATTATTATGTTCTCCTAACAAAACGAAATTCATTTCAAACAAAAATTTTATAAGAACAAAGTGGAAATTATTAGCAACAGCAAAGCTAATGTTTTCTGTTAGTTTAAGCACAAACTAAGAAAAGTAAAACCAAACTTTGTGGCAATAATTAAGACCAAACTGAACATGGTGTGTGTTTATGGTGCATGCCGGCAATGTTGTTGTTGGCAAACTCTTATGGAGGTGGGGCTTAGGTAGACGATATTATCGGATATCGCGATATATTTTAAAGGCGATTATCGATACAATATTTTTGACATATCGCCCAGCCCTACTTTACAGTTGCCAAAAATATAACTTCTGTCTGGACCACTATCGTCAAAATGATAGATACTTAGCATAAAGTTTGGCGGTATGGTTCTGTTCTGGGCAAAAACCTCCCTGCCATCCATGCAGCCTGTCATGAATGAGCAGGGAGAGCAGCAATAATAACCCCCCCTAGGGTTAACAGAACAGAACAAGGCAGATATCATTAATGTACTTAATGATATTTAAGTGTAACACTTTATTCAAGATAAAGGAGTCTGATTAGCAAGGAATATCAGAAAGTCAAGTCCTGACTGTGGCGGAAGGAGGAGCTGGGGATGGAGGAGGGTAATTTGCTCCGGAGCAAGCTGAAAAGCTGCTGAATAATACTGAATAGTGCTTATATTGGAATGCCTCGACAGGTGTCGTATTCCTATAGGTAGATGTGATCAGCTGAGAATCAGCTGATGCAAGCTTGACTCATGTGACCTGCCAGAACTAACGCTAACGCTTAATTTTGGGGTTTTTTGTTATTAAAAAAAATAAGCAAGCCCAGCTTATGAGACAAAAAGTAACAATGCATTACCTTCCATAAAAAGTAACTAAGTAACGCAATTAGTTACTTTTTTATGGAGTAATGCAATATTGTAATGCATTAGTTCTAAAACGTACTTTCCCCAAAACTGGTCATGAAAGTGTCTCTCTTTAAGTATACTTAAGTAGCTTTTTATTTCATTAATATTATAATATCTGAAATTATTTTTTAACAATAATACTTTTAACAATGGAAGTACACTTCAAGTGCACATCCAATACAACTTTGCACTTCTTTTTCCACAAGGGCTTGTGAGGTTGAAGCGTTTCATACAACCAGCAGACTATGACACATTAACAGCATTTTCAATTAAAGCGCCGGCAAACATGAATTTATGAAGCTCACTAGAATGAGTGTGAGTGCTCAGAGGAGATGTGCCACCTGACAGACTGAAACTGAGAGGGGAAAAAAAGCCCTGACATGAACTTTGATTGGATAAATTAAAAATGTCAGGATAAGAGACAGTCATATATTAATAAAGACAGCGGTTATTAATGTCCTGACCAAACAGCATGTCTTATCTATTACTCATGCATTAATGTTTTTCACTTTAACGTGGAGTAAATACCAATCTACATAAGCACTGCATAATTACTATATTAGTATACTGCAACATATTACTACTGCTCTACAATGCATGCAATTATCTAAGGTTTATTGTATGTTTGCATAGAATTTATACTATATTTGCTAAATATGATCTCATAAGATAATCATACTGTAAAAGAGTTGATTCACTTGATGTTCAAAACCTGAATGACCTTCTTTCTTCTGTGGAACATTAAAAATATGTTGAACCAATATTCCGTTGGTAACCAATCAGTTTTGCTAAGCATTTACTTCCATTGTATGAGCAAAACATTTCTTGAAAAAGTCTTCATGTCACACAGAGGAAATTCATTCATACAGTTTTGGAACATCATAAGGGAACACGATGAGCTTTTATTTTGGCGGGTTGCTGACAAGCAAGTATAAGCTCTGTCAGTTTCAGCGCATCAGTGAGTGAAATGTCACAGTTTTGCATTTTCCTGGCAGCACGTAGCCTAGATTTAATCTCTCAGTTTGAATGGAAATCTTATACAGTATTAAAGTTAATACAGTATGTGAGCACATAGAGTAGGAGAGAAGCAAATAAATGTAAAAGGCTGAAACTAGGCAGAATGTATACGACTGTATATAATTAGCGTATGACGTTATCTAGAGACATTTAGCAACTTTTCGAGCAGGCCTTAGCTGTTTTCCATTGAATGGCAGCAGTGGTTTAGTCTGTGGTCATAATCTATGACATGACTTCATTTACACATCAAGTTAAACATGTATTTGTTGTCTTACTTTCGGTTCCGTCCCCCAGCAGCTTCTCATCAGACAGGCGAAACTGGCAGGGCAGCTACTGGGAATCGTCAGCCTCTGCAAAACACACATGAAACATGTCATAAATAATCAGAGTCAGAAGTGCGGTCGGTCACACGGCCTTTACCTCGCTCTTCTCCACCACCAGCCAGGCCACCTGCAACCCCTCCAGACCTTTGAAGGGAACTTCACGAGTCAACATCTCCCAGAGGACCTGAAAGAAACACACTTATGATTCAAAGTGTGCATCAAACAACTGACTACACAGTGCAACCACACTCTGAAAAAAATTATAATTTGGACCAAAACATTTTTTTTCTCAAATGATATTGATGTTTGGTTCAAACCTTAAATTTAGATGTAATATTGTTCAAAACATTATTTTTCTAAAGACAAAAAAAATACATTCATAGAAAGTAAAAAGGTCATTTATTGTAAAGACCATAAATCATATTTATAGCCATAAGCCTTATGCAGGACAATATAATATTTATATATAATATATAATATAACTATAAAAAAGGCTAAATTATATATTATCACTTAAGATAAATCTAAAAATGTGTTGTTAGTCAATGTTTAATTCAGTTTATTTACTAAGTAAAGACAACTTTGAAAGTCCTTAATGTTTATTGAGATGTCTTTTTTTTAAATATGTTATATGGACTATCAAATATTAATATATGTGTTAATAGTATGTGTTTTTCACATCATTACGCTGGTGTCAAGCAAAAACACTATTTAAACAAAATAAAAAAAACAAGTGTAAATCAGAAACCATGAGTTTCAATTTAAATAAATAAACGAGACGGTCGTTTCACATTTTTCAGTGCTTTTTTGCAGCTAGAAGCATCACAGTGACGTTCGCACACTCACCACTCCGTACGAGTACGTGTCGCAGGTCTCAGACACAGGAAGGCTCTGGATGACTTCAGGGGCCATCCAGGGAAACGTGCCCACCAGAGACATGTGGGTGGTGTGAGAATGAAACTTAGACGCCCCGAAATCACAGATCTGAGGACATGAAGAGCCCAATTAACTAGCAGGTCGATTTTTCATCTTTGACTAATAACATATAGACAGCTTGGTTCTGTTTGTATGAACAGACAGTCATCATGTACCTTGGGTACAGCATCTGCCGTCAACACAACTGGAATGAAAACACAGAGGTGGTCAGGCCAAAGAAAATATAGCATCAGATATATATAGAGAGAACTGTTATACCATTTCGGGACTTGAGGTCTCTGTGAATGACTGTAAACGGGGCCTCAGCGTGCAGATAATGCATGCCTATAAGAGAAAACACACAAATTGAGAGAGTTTGATTTTGAAATAGTAATTATTTTACTGAAGGAATGGAACATATGTTGCTTCTCCTGTTTCTCAGTGTGTAGAAACACACAGGAAATGTGTTTACAGTAGTGTGCTTACAAAGGAGGCCTAGCAGGCATGTTTAAACGCTAAAATCAAGCTTGTGTTCTTGTTAGTGTGCTTCTATAATGTCCTTTTCTAGGCAGACAAACTTGTGGTTAAACATTACACTTTCAATGCTTGTCTGGTGTTGTTTGCTCCGTGTAAACAGTGATTTATGAATACAGATTGAAAGCAAACGGGTCCCTTTCTCGCAGATTTGAAAGATCAGATATAACAAGATTGGTAACTGATTATATCACACCAGTGTCATATTGCCATGTGTAATGTTCACCCAAACACGGCAACATATTTCACTTGAGTATGTGAAGGCAGAGTTTCTTCAAGAGGCACATGCATGAATGTAAACAGTTTGTTTTCTCTCACAGGTCAAGTCTGGTCAGAGAAACAGCTGGAAGTTAAAGTTAGTTAAACTGTAATAATGTTTACAGCCCTGCTGGCCTTAACTGGTTTAAGCTGGTCAGAGTGGTTGTTCAGATGGTTTGCCAGTCTAAGCAGCACCAGAAACCCCACCAAAATCATAGAAACACATCAGCATGACCAGGACGGGAGGCCTGGTCTCCTCTAAGTATGAACCGCACGCTTGTAATGCATTGGTATGTTCCTGTCCTTATTAGGGATATGCGAGACTTGCCAACTAAATCTTGAAATCTGAAACATTTTGTGTAGGCTATGTCAAACTAGCATATAACAATTAAGCTTATTGTATAGGCTTGTTATTCTACCGGTCATATCTTTTTAAAAAAAGAGAAACATTACGAATGAAACTTACCCGACAACAACAGATCCTATATCAAAATCCTAATGAATAGAATACCATTAAATAATGTGATTTTGCCACCTGTCATGTGTAGACACTTTCAACAATTACAACAATGTGCTAACTAACATTTATTTGACAAACTTTGTTTATAAGTATAGTGGGTTTCTAGTAGGGATGCACCGATACCACTTTTTCCAGTACTCGCCCGATACCGATACTTTTATTTTTGGTACTTGCCGATACCGAGTACCGATACCAATATTTTTATTGCATTTGTAATTTCTTTTAATATTGGGTACAGAAACCAAAAGAGTATGTATAATGTTAGTTGGTTAACTTCATTTATCAAATAGATACAGTCAAACCCAAATTTATTCAGACACCAACATTTCTCACATTATCACAGTTTATTCTCTATAGTTTAGAAAAATTATTCGGTCTGAATAATTTTTGGTCCCAAATGTGCATCAATTTTACTGGTAGTCCACCGTATGAAGAATTTTTTGGTATGATTTGTCACAGTTTACTTTATTTTGCTATCCTCACTTACATAAATGAACTATAGTGTCCTGCACCCACTAGTAAAAAAATATCAAAAATTATATCTGGTCTCTGAATCACTTTTGGTTTCACTGTATATCCTTCTGTTATTTTCACACTTGATTATGCCCATTAAAATGTATTTTACAAGTTTTTGTTACTTTCACTGTTCATTTTTTTGCTCTGTGGTACATCATCTTTAATTTAATAGCATTAGAGCTGATCCAATGCAGCGGCTCAGTACTGTAATCACACGCTTTGCTGTAATAATGCAGGGAACCACTCGTTATAAATCTCCTAACTGTGATATTTTCCGAAATGTTTTCATCTGAAACGTGCTGTGATTTATATTCCAAAGCCTCTCATATATTGCAGAAACACTCAAGCAAAACACGCGTGCAAGTAGACTGATGCAGAATAGTACAGCCTAGCGTATTTCACACAGTATGCTAGATTCACTTTCGCCAGAAAGTCGTGTATGCCTAAGGTTGAAAATAAATTATGTTTATAGTGAATGCCCCTATGAATGGTCTTATTTTTATGATTCAGTTTTAATCCAAATGATGCGTGTGCTAAGTCAGCGAACATCAAAAATCATATAACAGAAGTGCGCGCTCTCTCTCCCTCTCTCTCTCTCTCCCTACCGTTTAGTAACTTGTGCATTGTTTTACTTGTTTTTTTACATATCCACCCGAACTACAAACTTTCCAGTGATGTCTGTGAGAAAGATATATTCACTCGACAAGCTCGCGCATCTGCGCCGCCGCGCGCTCAATCCACTCAGCGTGCTTTGTTTATCAGCTCGCGCACATCAGCTATACAGGCGTTAACACTGAATGTTTAACGTTATATTCATTGCATACATATACTTCGTAGTAGACATACTTAACTCCATTCTGCTGTCTGTTGTTGGTGTTTCTTTGTTTGAATATGGGGCTTAACACATGCTGTGTGGTATCGGCATTTGGTATCGGGGCATTTTAACGAGTACGAGTATGAGTACAGGAGCTCAGTATCGGACCCGATACCAGTATCGGTATCGGTGCATCCCTAGTTTCTACTTATTATTTCAGCAATGTCTATTGATTCAGCTTATTTTAATAAATATATCTATATTAGCTAAAGTTGATTGAGTGAATGCAAGTTTAGCGTAATGTAATGCATATTTCAGCAGGATTCAATATGGGATTTGACTGTCTGATTCATTGATTAAGTAGGCTATTTCAGATGTATTGCTTACACAAACAGTTTTTTTCAGTCGACTAGTCTGTTACAAAATCTCCGCTTAAACATTACTGAAATTAGCTGTGGGGCACATCCCTAGTCCTTATGGTTACATTTTCAAAACAGTATAAGCATTTCTGCGAGACTTCCAGTGTAAGTGTGTTTTGTTGTGCATTTAATCTCTTCTACTTTTTTTTTTCTTTCTTCAATTTATGTGTGTGAGAGTGTATATAATACCTTTAGCAATGTCCATTGCCCAGGTCATAATCTGCTTCATACTGATGTCTTCACTCTCGGCACTGGACAGATAGTCAAAGAGAGATCCACAGCTGGCATACTCTACCATAACACAAACACACACATACATAGAATGTAAATTAAAATGCAAAAAAACTAGTAAAAATTGCACTGGGCAGGAGTTTCATATATATATATATATATATATATATATATACAGTATAATTATAGCCCTGTTACAAGTTGATTTATAACAAGTCTCTAAATTATATTATTAAATACTATTAAATTAATATTAATAAATTATTTTAAAATATTATATAAAATACTGTTTTAAATTAAAAAATAAAATAAAAAAGTAAAAGCATGTCACACTATACAACGTGTTCCCAAAAGAATGCAAACTACTCAAATATAGAGACATACCACTAACATTTGTGACCCTGGAGCACAAAAGCAGTGTTAAGTCGCTGGGGTATATTTGTAGCAATAGCCAAAAATACATTGTATGGGTCAAAATTATGGATTTTTCTTTTATGCCAAAAATCATTAGGCTATTAAGTAAAGATCATGTTCCATGAAGATATTTTGTAAATTTCCTACCGTAAATATATCAAAACTTAATTTTTGATTAGTAATATGCATAGCTAATAACTTTATTTGGACAGCTTTAAAGGGGATTTTCTCAATATTTAGATTTTTTTTGCACCCTCAGATTCCAGATTTTCAAATAGTTGTATCTCTGCCACATATTGTACTATCCTAACAAACCATACATCAATGAAAAACGTATTTATTCGGCTTTCAGATGATGTATAAATCTCAATTTCATGACATTGACCCTTATGACTGGTTTTGTGGTCCAGGGTCACATATGACTTAATATTCATGAATACTGTATGTTTAGCTTTGCTTTAGGTCACCGTGAGCACACATCAGATAATGGTCAGATTATCAGGCTCAAACAGAGATACACACACACACACACACACAGAGGGGAAATTAATAACCTCACGGACAAAGCTGAGCTGGTCATAAACAGCACCTTCACCTGCTCTTATTACATTTACTTTTCATAAAGAGAGACTCGACGCTCTCTCAGCACTGCAGACCAACGGCTCTTTACAAAGCACTTTATGATCTTTTCGCTCAGCAGGATCCGGGGGCACCTAGATCGGACCGAAAGGGCACTTCAACTGGTCTTAGAGAAAACTGAGAAATTTGCATTTCCTGAAGGAAGTACCAGTGCTTGCAAGTCGGCAAAAACAAATCATTAGACAGAGACAGGTATGACACTGACATGTAATATCGAGAATAGATATACAAAATAATTGAAAAATCATTTTCCTAAAGTAGAGTATTTAGAATAAAGAGAAAGGAATTATTTTTATTAAAAAGACTGAAATGATCTACAAAACAAAGTCTGTATGTTAATCATTCCAGCTGAATTAATTGCAGAAGATTGTGGATAATAATAAAAAAGCATGTGTTTATGGAATATCACTACAGCCCTGCCTTGCAAACACTGTAATAAATGCTGCGTTTCAGAGTGAAGAGTCATGTTTGACTGACCTGTAACAATTCCATAGTTGGGCGCTTCCAGAACCGCTCCATAAAACTGGATGATGTTTCGATGACTGAGAACACTTAAAATATCTGCCTGGAAATACAGCCAACACAAAGATTACAACAACATCAAAACGAGGAAATATTCATTATATCTCTATATAATTTTCCTAATTGCATACACAAATGTTTCATTACAAATAATGATATTGTCAGCATAACAATTAACTCTATAAAACCTACTGTGTCATGTTTGATACACACTTTTCTAAGGCCTCTAAATGATCGACATAATCACAACTTTGTTGTACACAGTTCACTACTTGCCTTCTGTCGTCTGATTGATAGTTGATACTTTTTTTTAGCAAGTAAAAGAGTTTGTAATTGAATTGTAAAACTGGCAGGTTGTGCGGTCCACATGTCTTTTAGCTGTGAAATCTTTATTGATTTGTATAAAGTAAATGTAAGGATAACTTTTATACGGTTAGTAATGAACAACTACTGGACTGAAGCATCATATTTTAGAAAAATCCTGTTCGAATGTGAGTATGTGATGTTCATCTCTCATCATCATTGCATTGCATTATATGTTTGGCACACCGAATAAAACCCACACAGATTTGATCATAAAACTAAGCATTTAGATATAATCATCTAAGACATATTACTGAAAAATGTAGAGTAACTACTCATATTTATATGCATTTATGTAGCTAAGTAAACTGTTATAAAGATCGCTGAGTTACATTACAAGCTGTCAGAATTTCATCTTAATTTTTTTTGTTTTTCTGCTCCTCCATATTCTCCTATATCATACTATATGAACCATAAAAGCCTGATGTAATGTCAAATATGACCATATTAGATTTGAACAAATTTAACAAACATTTTTGGAAGAGCGCCACTTATATGAAGTGAATCATATGAATTTTGAGTCTTACTGGCGATACTTTTGTGCGATTTTACTAACTCCTTTGGCAGTTTCTCCACCAAACTATATTTTAATCTTATTTTTTTCTCGACCAAAATGCAACCAAAGCCATTATGCTCTAAAATCACCACGTGAAGAACAAAGACAACAATTAATCTAGCACTTAAAAGTAAATACGCTTCACCCCAAAGACAAACACTGCACTCAGCTGAAACTAATATGACTTAATTATCTGACAATTTTCTCTTAAAGACACAGTCTATGAATTTCCGTTCACAAAAGCTGCTCGGACTGGAGTCGACACACAGAGAGGCAATTAAAATGATTATCACACTGACAATTAAAGCATGTGTATGAAAAGCTGGGGCGACTCTCACTCCCACCTCTTTTTCAATCTTCAGAAGCTTTTTCACCGCCACCTCTTTGTCCTGCGAGAGCCAGCGGGCGCGATACACGCTCCCGAAACTCCCGCCGCCGCAGTTCTCGTAGAAGAGGATGTCATCGAATCTGATTTGCACAAAGGAGGCGCCCAGAGATGCCATGGCATAATGGCACTTCGAAACACGCTTCTCTCCTGAAGAACGAAGAAAAGAGGAGAGGATGAGAAGAGAGCGAGGGATGAGAGATGTTGTGATTTGATCTGCCACTGAGAGAACTGCTCACTTTTACTCCAGTGAACACACACACACACACACACACGCGCCGCGAGCTGTCAGACAGAATCCACTCACTTACTCTAACAAGTTTTGCTCAAGCGTCACAGGCTGGTGTGTGAACGCGCTGTGTGTGTGTTTATGTGTTTTTGTGACGGCACCCATTCACTGCAGAGGATCCATTGCTGAGCAAGTGATGCAATGCTACATTTCTCCAAATCTGATGAAGAAACAAACTCATCTACATCTTGGATGACCTGAGAGTGAGTAAGTTTTTAGCAAATGTTCTTTTTTTGGGTGAACTATTGTTTAAATCAGCAGACTTCATAACAACAAGGTTCAAGGTTTGGCGTATGATCAACAAACGGACACTCCCTCCCTGCTGCCTGCCTCTCTGCAGATGTATGAGGCTGATATTCCTCTGGCTTGTCAATGTTTTACAGGGAATTCCTCATATCTGCAATCAGAGCACATGACACGAGCTCATCCACACACTCATACTGATCTGAGATCAGCTGACAGCAGACTACTACTACTAGTGTACATCATATCAGCAGGCACCTCTTGTTAAACCAAAGTTCGCTTAATTGCATTGAATGTGCACATGTAGTCTACTTTAAATCTTAAAAGTATATTTTTATTAAAAACTATACATACAATATAATATTAACTAAATAAAAGGCCATTTAAGTGTACTTAAAGACAGTTCACGTTTATGACTATGACTCTATCAGGTACAGTGCATGCCAAATTTTCTCAAAGAAAAACAAAACTCTAATGCTGTAAAATATACATGAGAGTCAGTTGGTACTACTGAAGTTACATATTAATATTTCTACTTCAATTCGTTTTTTTTGAAATATAAACATTTAAATGGTGGCTGCCATAAAAACTTGATGGATTTATTCAAACATAAATTAAACATTGAAGAACAGTAAAAAATATAATGAATATGTTATATGGTGCATATATTAAAGGGGTCCTATTATGCTTTTTCACTTTTTCAACTTTAGTTAGTCTGTAATGTTGCTGTTTGAGCATAAAAAAGATCTGCAAAGTTACAAAGCTCAAAGTCCACTTCAAAAGGAGACATTTTATTGAACAGAAATCACTTTTCAGAAACTACAACGAACTAATCGTTTGGAATACATCGCATATTTTCCGGGATTTGTGATATCACAAATATCGACGAATGGGACGAGACCTGGTTGAGCTGCACTAGACAAGGCATAAGTGTTATCACTATGTCGGAGACACGCTAGCTTTCCCAAGGCAGACGAACTTAGAGTGGTTACGATCATACGGGTTTAAATCATGCTCAAATTTATTTGATATTGACGCAATATTTACACCGAAGCTCGCAGGCGGCTATGGTAAGGGGCGTGACATTTCCCGACCAGGGGCCGAGTGGAGCCAATCACAACACACACTGGCCCAGCTAACCAATCACAACACA